ATGTACTGACCCCTTTGTGTGTACACCTGGATTCCTCGTCAGTGATGTGTTTATGCATTGGTTTGGAGGAACACACACTGCTAGACACAGCATTTCTTTGCACATAGCCTGAATTCAAACTCAAGACACCCACGACTTTCCCTTGTGCTTATACAAACACACAGTGGGTCTCTGAGCAACACAAATGTACACACAGCAGAACATGCACACTTGAAGCAAATAAATTCACCTGCAGTATGCTTTTTTATGCTGTATATGTGTATGTGTGTGTGTGAGTGTGTGCATGTGTGTGCAGCTTCTTGTGCATTTGTGCAATGTGTGTATGTGTTCCTGAGGGGACAGACCCAGCTGTCTGAACCTCATGGTCTGATACTCCAGCCTCCTAGCCCCCAAATGCAGCCTTCTACCTCCCTCCCTTGGCTGGTGAGAGCAGAGGACCCAGCTCTTGTTCCCTTCCTCCACTGGCTGCCTCGCTCCCTCCCATCTGGCAGAATCAGCCAGTCCTGCCCCAGCTCAGGCTCAGGCAACCCTGGCTGCTCTGGGCAAACTCTCGGCTGGTTGGTCTCGGCTGATGCCGCATCAGCAACAGCAGCAACAGCAGGGGCGAGAAGGCTTCAGGCGGCTGCCAACGTGGCAGACGGCGGGCAGGGCGGCAGGAAGGAAGCTGGGCCCATTCTGCGCCCACTCGCTGGGGGAGACAAAACCAAGGGGCTGAGTGAACAAGCAAGGCAGCTGGGCAGGGGACCTTGTGCACAGCTTGGGCTCTGGGCCCACATTGGTCCCACAATGGCTGTGTGACCTTGAGCAACTTGTTCCCCATCTCTGGTCTTGTTTCCGTTTCCTCCTTTAGCAAATGAACAGTTTGGACTGGACAAATCCTTGCCTTCAGTTCTGCAAAGACAGCTCACAGGATGGAGGCAGAGGCTCACTCTGTGTCCTCCAGTTCTTTCAGCCCCCAAATAAAAATTCCTTACCTGCCAGGCGGTAGTGGCACATGCCTTTAATCCCAGCACTAGGGAGGCAGAGGCAGGCAGATCTCTGTGAGTTTGAGGCCAGCCTGATCTGCAAGAGCTAGTTCCAGGACAGGCCCCAAAGCTACAGAGAAACCTTGTCTTGAAAAACCAAAAAAAGAAAAAAAAAAGAGAGAGAGAGAGAGAAAGAAAAGAAAACAAGTTCAAGCAGGCATGGTGACTCGTGTCTGTAATCCCAGGACATGGGAGAATGAGGCAGGAGGATTGCCATGAGTTCAAGGCCCAAACTATCTCAAATAAAAAGGAAAAAAGGGATGCTGGAAAGATGACTCAGAGGTTGAGAGTACCTACTGTCCTTGTAGAGGACTGTGATTCAGTTGCTAGCGCTGATACGGCCGCTCACAATCATCTGTAACTCCAGTTCCTGGGACCCCACACTCTCTCGAGGCATGCACATGGTGCGCAGACATACATGTAGGAAAAACTCATACGCATAAAATAAACCTTAAAAAATGTTTTAACTAAAAAAGGAAAGAAAAAAAAAAACCAGGTTACCTGGCCAGTGCTCAGCATAACTGAGACAGGATCTTAGAATCCCTGTTTTGGTCTTCAGAATCAACAATGTCTGTTGTCTTCCAACCACCCCATGCCCTTCCTGCTCACTCTCAATCATCCCCCACCTCTTCACCCTGGGCCCCAACAGAGCCACCTGGTTCTGCCCTGGGGAGTCAGGGTGTAAAGGTCAGACAAGGCCTCCCACCAGCATTCCAGCTGCTGCAGGGAACACAGCTGTCAGCAGGGTCCAGAGAGCCAAAACCACCTCCTAAGCAGGCCCACATTGTCAGCTTCAAAACGAAGCTGCTGTGGGATCATGGGCCACCCGGAGCCTTGGGTTTTCATCCTGATGGCTGCCATGAACTGGACTGGATGCATTCCCAGGACCCTTTTGGCTTGCAGCATCACCGAAGGAATGAACACGGAAAACCACGGTGTGGGGAAGTGGCTGTATCCAGGACCCCAGCCACTGTGGGATGCCTGGTATCTGGGAACCCGGTCTCTGCATCATCGGAGACTAAGGTGGTATCTGCATCTCTGAGGCCCCCATATAAAGGAGGGGTTCAGTCTTTGTTTGTGGGAGGAGTGGGTAGACAGATGGACAACAGTATGAAGGGGAGACGAAAAAGAGGCCTCCATGGAGTGCTTAGCAGAATGAAAGGAAGACAGAAAAAAAAATTTAAAAAGGCAAGAGAATGTCCCTTCTCCCTGCTTGTTTATTTCACCAGTTTTGTCCCTGATGCTCACTCTACTCAGCCCAGTCTATGGGGACCAAAAATGTGGGACAGTTACAGGAGGGTGGAGCATCTGTGGATCGTCCTGGGAAGAGTGGAAGAGGACCCAGATGGTCTGTGGTGGCAAAGAAAGGCCTAGAGTTGCCAGGCGCAGTAGCACAGGCCTTCGATCCTGGCACTTGGAAAGCAAGAGGATGTTGAGTTCAAGGTCATACTTAAGCTAGTTCAAGATCAGCCTGTGCAATGTACCCTGTCTCCAAAACATGTTTTTAAAAAGACAGAAAGGGAAGAAAAGAAGAGGTAATAGGACTGGCTCGTGGAGGGGAAGGCACCGGGTCTCTAGGAAACATCCGTAGCATTTCCTGCTGTGCACGTAGACACTTGAGATTATCGTCCCCATCCTGCAGATGGAGAAATCAATGCTCAATGGGAGGGACGGAGCCAGGCTTTTATACCCAGGCTGGGCTGGCCTGACTGCAAAGCCAGTGTTTTGTGTGCTAAGCCGTGCTGCCTCCTGATGGAACGAATTGCTAATGGTGGCATTTCCGTTGTAGCGACAGTGCTCTGGGAAGAGGTTCTGGACAGATGGTTCCCAATTGGGCCCCTGCCTCAGGCTAGCGGAGCAGAGGGTTGCTGGTGCAGGAAAAACTCATCCCCCTCCGTTCTGCTGTGTGTGGGATGCAGGCAGGTCCCCTCCGGACTCCTCACCATCCCCCGCCAGCCCTTTGGCCTTGCCTGGGTGACCTGCATGAGCTCAGCTTCCCAGCAGCCCTGCGGAGGAGTCAGCCAGGGCAGAGACTGCCTCTGCCCTCGCTGCTTGGCAGTGCCAAGGGAGGCGGGACCGCAGAGGGGTGCAGCATCTCCCAGCCACCAGACCTCCTTCCTGTGCCCCAACTCCGGCACCCCTGGGGTCTTCTGCAGAGGCCCAAGCTGGGATGAATGGTGAGGAGCTGGGCACACTGGTCAGGCCCGTCCCCATTGCTGCAGCCTTGTTGAGTTGCCATTAACAAGTGGCCGGAGGTTGCCTTGTCTCCATGGAGACCAGACAGTCAGTGCGGCTCTGGGGTGAGGGCCGTGATTAGTGAGTGTCAGTTTTGCCAGCCCTGTCCTTCCCACTGCTGCTCAAGACAACAGGCCTGGGGGGTGGAGGGGACGGCTGGGAGGGGGTTCAGAGCCTCACAGGCAGGGGGCATTCAGGCCCAGCCTCAGGTGCTGTGTCTTTGTCTCCCCCAGTGGCTCCGCAGTTCCTCCTCCTCTTGTCGCCTGCCTTCCCTCCGCAATCCATAATCCGTCTTACACACAGCCACCAGGGTGAGTTTTCTAAAACACGAGCTGAATCCTGACACTGTCTTGCTTAAGAGCATTCCATGGCTCCTGACACCCTGGAGGCTGAGTTCAGTGCCCTCTCTCTCTCTCTCTCTCTCTCTCTCTTTCCCTCTCTCTCTCTCTCTCCCCCTCGACGGAAAAAAAACAAAACAGGATCCTGTGTCACATAGTATCCCATGATGTCCTTGAACTAGATATGTGGCTGGGGATGATCTTGAACTGTTTCTCTTGCCTCCCTCTCCCAAGTGCCTAGAGTCTAGTCACTTTCGGCTAAAGATGTACACAGACACTCCCAGTTTATGTCGTGCTGGGGATTGAACTCAGGGTTTTGTGTGTGATGGGCAAGCACTCTACTAACTGAGCTACACGTCAACAAAGGGTTTTTTGAGCATCCTACCAGGGGTCAAGGAGGCTGCCAGGTGTTCAAGGTCAATGTGACAAACAAGTTCTCTGCTTTTCTGGAGGAAGGCAACCTGCCAATCTTGTCAATTTTGTGAGGAGGACACATTATAAATAAAATACAGGACTGGAGAGATGGCTGAGCAGTTAAGAGCCTAACTATTGCCGGGTGGTGGTGGTGCACACCTGTAATCCCAGCACTTGGGAAGCAGAATCTGGCGGATCTCTGTTGTGAGTTCGAGGCCAGCCTGGTCTACAGAGCGAGTTCCAGGACAGGCTTCAAAGCTACAGAGAAACCCTGTCTCAAAAAAAAAAAAAAAAAAAAAAGAGCACTAACTGCTCTTCCAAAGGACTCCAGGTTCAATTCCCAGCACCCACATGGCAGATGGCAGCTAACAACTGTCTGTAACTCCAGGATCCAACACCCTCGCACAGACATACACACGCAGATAAAACACCAATGCACATAAAAATAAATCATGCCTTTAATCTCAGCACTTGGAAGGCAGAAGCAGGCAGATTTCAGTGGAGGCCAGCCTGATCTACAAAGTGAGTTCCAGAACAGACTCCAAAGCTACACAGTGAAACCCTGTCTTGAAAAACATAAATAAATAAATGCAAATCAAGAGCTTTTTGCCAGTTCAATCTCCTTGAGTTCAAGGCCAGCCTGGTGTACTGAGTTAAACTGCAGGGAAGCCAGGGCTCCACCTAGAAACCCTGTCTCGAATCCCCCCCACACACACCAAAAGAGCTTTTGGCAAGGTGGCATAGGCCTATAATCTCAGTACTTGGGAAGCTGGGGCAGAAGGATTTTGAATTCAAGACCGGTCTGGGTTATACAGTGAAACAAAACAAAATAACAGGAGTTAGCCTATTTCAGGCGAGCAATATGAAGGAGGCAGTTTTGTATTCGAGTGTATGCATCTGTGTGCCCACACCTCCATTCACATGTGTGGAGGCCAGAGCTCAGCCTTCAAGTGTCTTTCTCCATCACTCCCCACCTTATAATTCTTTCTCCCTTTTGGAATGCTTCAAGGGACTCTGAGTGTCATCCTTGCCCAGGGGCCCTGCTAATCTTCTTCTTATCATTCCAATTTTAGTGTCTGTGCTGCTGAAGCTAACACCACCTTATTTTCTGACACAGGGTTTCTCACTGCGTCGGGAGTTCACCAGTTCAGCTAGACTGGCTGACCAGCAAACCCCAGGGCTCCTCCTGTCTTCTTTCCCTGGGATTTTAGACTCATGTTGCTCCTTTTGTGACAAGCATTTTATCAACCGAGCCATCTCCCCACATCCCACTTTTCAATTATTTATCTATGATTGTGTGTTTGCCTGTGTACACAAGCATCCACATGTACAGAGGTGCCCAGAGAGGTGAGACAGGGGCATCAGAGCCCTTGTAACTGGAGATAGAACAAGTTGTGAGTGCTGGGAACTGAACTGGGTCCTTTGGAAGACCAGTAAGTGCTCCTATTTCTTATTTATTTAGACATGTTCCCACTATGTATCCCCTGGCTGGCCTACGACTGCCTGTATAGACCAGGCTTACCTCAAATTTCTAGACATCTACTTTGTCTCTGCCTCCCAGACACTGGGATTAAAGTTGTGTGCGTTCACAACTGTCATGATTTTTTTTTTTTTAATATTTATTTATTATGTATACAATATTCTGTCTGAATGTATCCCTGCAGGCCAGAAGAGGGCACCAGACCTCATTACAGATGACTGTGAGCCACCATGTGGTTGCTGGGAATTGAACTCAGGACCTTTGGAAGAGCAGGCAATGCTCTTAACCTCTGAGCCATCTCTCCAGCCCTGTTTTTCGTTTTTTTAAGGCAAGGTATAGACCAGGCTGGCCTTGAACTCAGAGATCCAGCTGCCTCTGCCTCCTCAGTGCTGGGTTAAATTAAAGGAGCATGCCACCATGCTTGGCTTGGCAAGTTTTTTGTTTGTTTGTTTTAGATGTCTTTTTATTTTATCTGTGTGTGCATGTGTGTGCACGTGTTCATGCCTCTTTCTCTGTGTGTGTGTGTGTGTGTGTGTGTGTGTGTGTGTGTGTGTGTGAATGTTTATCACACCTGTGCAGGTGCCCAAGGAGACCAGAAAACGGTATATCAAATCCCCTGGAACTGAAGTGACATTCGGTTGTGCGATGCATGATATGGGTACGGGGAACTGAACTTGGATCCTCTGGAAGAACACAAGATGGCTCTTAATCATTGATGTTCTGTATCTGCATGCTGGCCTTTAAGTGCACCAGTAACTGAGGCTGACAACTTCTCATCTCCTGCCTCCACTTCAAGAGCGCTGGAATTACAGGCAGACACCACACCACCACACTCAATTTAATGATGTGCTGGGGAACAAACCCAGGGCTTCACGCATGCTAGGGAAGCATGCCACCAACTGATTAGATCCATAATGCTGAAGACATTTTCATAGTGACAGGGTCCCCCCACCAGTGGGCAGACTGGAACATTCTAGAGGGCATGCACCAGGGCCCCAGCCTCCTGCCCCACTGGCCTCCTCTCTTCCCACTCCCTGGTTGCCAACCCCTCCTTCATGCTTCCTATCCTGGTGAAAGGCAGGGTTTATCCACGTGAGTGGGGGTGGGGACGACGGGACGACGACGGGGACAACCCAAACCTCTGAGTCATTCTCCGCTCTTTCTCCCCTGTGCTCGCCTCGCCTCAGTCCCTCTTCCTGTCCACCCTACCCCATCTCTTTTCACTGTCACTGCCCCCCTTCTCATGTGCACCCCGATTGTCACAGCTGTCCCCAAGAGGCTCAGCCACTCATTTCTTGAATCCTACATGGGGTACCCTGGGTGCTAGGCGCTGAGTCACAACGGGCCGCGTGGATATGCAAAGAGCAAATGCGTAGTCCCTGCCCTAAACCAGAGTCCAGTCAGGAAAGCCACAGGTCTGTAAGCGCAGAGGAGGACCTCACCTAGGAGGGGACGTCTAGCAGCATTCCAGGAGGACGAGCTGCTGAGCTGGGACCTGAAGGGCAAGGAGTGAGCCAGGCAAAGGGAGGAGAAAGATGTTCCAGGCACGGGAACAAGTACACACTTGGGACGGCAGGAAGTAGGAGAGGTCAGAGCTGAACCAGAGGTTGGGGGAGGGGGCTCCCACCGTGAGTCTGCTCAGATCTCTCCCCCAGCATGACCTCCAGCCTCTCCCTTCCGGTTCACTCGCCGCATCACAGTTAGTCCGGCTCTCGAAAACAGTCCCGCTCTGCACCCACAGTCCAAGCCCGGCGGCACGGTCCTTGAAGCCCCCCCACCCCCCCGAATGGCTCTAGCAGCTGCCTTTCTACTTGCTCCTCCCAGCCAGCCACACCCAACACAGGTCATTTTCTCGGTCTCCTGGAATGCCCTCCCCTAATGGCCCTACAAGGATGCACCTCCCCCAGGAAGACTTCCTTATCCCAGTTTGCCTACCCCAGTAAGTTTCTCCTCTCTGCTTTTGCCCAACAAATTGGAGTTATGTGCACAGAAGAGCTGATAGCTGATGCTCACTGGCTGCTTTGTGGGAGACTTTATAGGTGTGTTCCACGGAGATGACCTTATTTTCACTCTTCCAGTCTGTGGGGCTGGAGAGATGGCTCAGCAGTTAAGAATCCCGACTGCCCTTCCTAAGGCCCTGGGTTCAATTGCCAGCAACCGCATGGGCAGCTAGCAACGGTCTAAAACTCCAGTTTGATCTAATGCCATCGTCTACCCTCTCTAGGCAAACATACAGAATAAATACCCATAAACATGAACGGAAAAGTAAAATAAAGGGCTGGAGAGATGGCTCAGAGATTTAGAGCACTAGCTTCTTTTCCAGGGGTTCTGAGTTCAATTCCCAGCACCCACATGGTGGCTCACAACCATCCATAATGAGATCTGGTGCCCTCTTCTGGCCTGCAGGCACATATGCAGGCAGAACACTGTATACAAAAGTAAAATAAAACTCTGCCAGCTTGTGAATGTCACCTATACTTTACTCAGGTGACACTGAGGCTCAAAAAGGCTGGAGGGACTCTGCTGGTTACCAAGGATAATAAGTGGCGGAGCTGGGACTTGAACCCAGGTTGGCTATTGCCTCTAAGACCTGTGGCAAAGTTTTCTAGTACCTTCCACCAAACTAGCAGCACTTGGGAGGGCACAGTCCAAGTCTGATGCATTTGGGCTCCCGAGAACCTAGGACATGACTATACCCACAGGTTGGGGTACACAGGTGGCATGCTACCAGAGGGTTGGGAGAGGGGTTCAGCAACAGGCTCCTAAGAGTAAAGAAACACCCTCTGCATCGTGAGTGAATCTGGTCATCATCCTGGGATTGACCCACTGTTTAGACCAGGATCTGGCCCCTGAATCAGGCTGGCATTTCCATCCTATGTCTAGCAGCTCCTTTGGAATCAGACAGACTCATTTTGAACTTTAGTTCTGCCTTAGATGGATGTAGCATTGTAAGTGAGTACTTTCAGCTCTCTGAGCCTCCAGTTCTCCATCCTTAGAATGAGCTGTAAAGTATCTGCTCTCTGCTCCCCAGGACTCCACAGATGTAAACAATGTAGCCATTCATGCTGTTTCCCAAGTGTCTATGAGCAATGCTGAGCTTGCTTGTTTTTTTGTTTTTTTTTAATGTGTGTTAATTGTATTGTTTATTTATTTATTTGCTTGCTTGCTTATTTTGAGAGAGGTTCCCACTATTGTAGATCTGGTTGGCCTGGAACTCACAGAAACTCCTGCCTTTGGCTCCTGTGTGCTAAGATTACATGTGTGAGGCCTCATGCCCAGTTTATTTCCTTTTCTGAAGTTGTATGTGTTTGTGTGAGTCGGAATGTGCTATCCATGACGGCCAGAAGAGGGCGTCGGATCTCCGGCAGCTGGAGTTACAGGAAGGTTGTGAGCCTTCCGACATGGGTGCTGGGAACGGAACTCAGGTTCTCCACGAGAGCAGTGCAAGCTCCTCACAGCTGAGCCACCTTTCCAGCCTGCTCGTTTACTTTTTTTTTAAACTATTTATCTCTATTCTATACAGTATTGTGTTTTTCCTGCATGCATGTCTGTATGATGATGGCAGATCTTGGAACTGGAGTTATAGACAGTGGTGAGCTGCCATGTGGGTGCTGGGAATTGAACTCAGGTCCTCTGGAAGAACAGTCAGTGTTCTTAACCACAGAGCCATTTCTCCAGCCCTCATTTACTTCTTTAAACAAAAAATTTAAGTTTATTAATTTGTACGTGTTTTTTTCATGTGTGTGTTCACCACATATGTGCCTGGTGCTACAAGTTCAGAAGAGGGAGTTGAAGCCCCTGGAACTGGATCATGTGGGTACTGGGAATTGAAACTGGGTTTTACGGAAGAGTAGTCTGAACCATCTCTCCAGTCCTAATTTTTCTTTTGTTTTGTTTCTTTGTATAGCCTTGGCTGTCCTAGAACTAGCTCTGCAGACCAAGTTGGGCTTGAACTCACAGAGATCTGCCTGTCTCTGCCTCCCAATTGCTGGGACTAAAGGTGATTGTTACCACTGCCCAGGTTTGTTTATTTGTTTGTTTTTTGAGAGAGAGTTTCTCTGTGTAACCCTTGTTCCTGATTTATTCCTAATTAGTGCCACCCTTAAGTCCAGGCAAACAGGGACATGGGGCCTCAATACTTCAAAAGGTCACCCCAGTCCTCCTCCCCTGGTCCCTCCCCAACAGAATGAAGAATCAGAGAGGCTAGGAACTCATGCCCAGCCAGAGTCCATCCCCACTCCCTTCTGAAACAGCTCTGGATACCAAGGATCTTAGAAACCCTGAGCCAGCTGACAGGGTGTGGGTGTGCCCTTCCCTAGTCCAAACCACACTGCCAGGGTAGATTCCTGGGCCTAAGGGGTAGCCAAAAGCAGCTGTTCACCAGGAGGGGGTGCTGAGGAAAGCCACTGGGTAGGTAGGCGGGGCCTAGGAGAAGGGCCTCCAGTGTGCTCTTGTCAGGAACACGGTGTCCTTCTGAGTGCCTCCGAAGGCAGGAACTACCAGCTCCGTTTTAGAGATAAAGGAACCTGTGCTCAGACTAGAGTCACTGGGAGTCTGTTTACTGAGCTGCCTCTGAGCTGGTCACGCTTCCGTACAGCTCAGTGTCACGCACCCAGC